AATCATGAAATCGCAATTTTTGAAATTTGAGCGTGTGGCGCAGCAATAGGAGGTCTTTAGACCGAGCCAACCATACTAATTATATAGCATTGATATTGATATATTGAAGAAATGTATTGAAACAAAAAATGTTGAAGCATTGGAATCGGGAAAATACAGTTCAATTGACAACAATGATGGAAAAGGAGTATTTAAATTGATAAGGACAAATTAGAAAAGGAAGACCAGATAGTTAGTACAAGAAGACATGAAAGACTACTGGAAGCAGCCGATACAAATTTATCTTCTGAAGCAATTACAAGGCGAAATAAGTGTAGATTGTGTAATAATATTGGTCATAGTCGTAATACTTGTCACTTTAATAGTAACAGTATAATAAGAGGAAAATCATGGTAATTGAATTGGGTTGGAGGGGGGGGGGTAAGGTGCGGAATGAATTAGTATATAATTTAAATATGTGCATATTAATATTCTTTATTAAAAAATAAATACACCATGTGTAAAAAATTTATTTGCTAGTGATTTTTAAGTTTTATGCACCCTACGTTTTTGTGCGGGTGCGCAGAAAACAAAGACCCACCCACACATAATAATAATAAATCAAATTTTACAATCTCTTTACATCACCATCCACCCCACCGCATATATATCAAATTATTATTTATTTAACCAATAAGGTCTGAGATAAATAAATGAATATTACTATCCTGATCTGATCTAGTTAATGAAAAATGTAACAATTCAGCTTTCTAAATTGATGATTTTTGTTGCTTTGCTTCTGCTTATTTAATAGTCTTTTTTCCCTTTAGATTGGTAATAATAATATTTTCCAAAACCATTATAAATTTCTTCAGCTGTTGGCCTATTTTCTGGATTATGATCCCAAGATCTTTTCTGTAATTTGAGGCCTCACTCCTTCTAAAATATTTAATATGAGATGAGAATTGTGTCCTCTATCATGAAAAGGTTTTTTCCCTGAAGTGTGTTCTCATATTATCATTCCAAGACTGTAAATGTACGATTCTTTTGTATATGGTTTTTTGATAATATTTCAGGTACCAGGTATGAAATGATTACAAAGATTTTATTTAGATTATCTTATTTAACTACTTTTTGACATAATCCCAAATCTCCTATTTGGCTATAATTAGGAAAGTATGGAAAAAATATTACCACTGTGCAAGTCATGATGAATGTAATTACTTCCATGAATTTTCTTCCATAAAAAAAAAAAACAATATATTATATTTACTACATATTAATGAATTCAAAAACTCACTTTCTGAAATCTTATGAATTTTATATTTCTTTGAAAGTTATTCTTTCAATCCTGATGCTTTGAACAAAAACGAATAAATTTTTGATCGCATGAAATTGGTATGATACGGCGATGTAAAAACAACTATCCTTTTATTATTATCATCTTTGGAAAACGAAAAGTTTTATTATTATTATTTTCAAATCATTTTGAGCCAGGACAAGCAAAAATGGCTCACTAATGATGCTTCAGACGGGTTTTTTGTTGTAATGAACATGACTTTGCTAGTGAACCAGAAGGGCAATGTTAGGGTTTATTTACAACAACCAAAAACGCCAATCTATTTTTACACCATTACTAGTGGGCCAGAAGGGTGGCGATAAGCAGTATGACAGTTAATCATTATGAACTTGACACATAAGGCGAAAGATATTTACAGAAAATTACTCACGCTTTTTAAGACTTTAGTGTGTAACAAAAAAAAGACTGGTCCAAAAGGATTGATGGTTCAAGTCATCTATAAATGTCACGAAATTTAAACTTTTAGAAGATCTTTCTATATAATAGAAAGGTTTTCCGTATCACAAAAAATTTTAAGCCGATCATCAACATTTAGGAAATCACAAGAGAAGATCATTCCGAAATTTTACAATTTACATAGACATACATAGTAATATATAGGTAAACGATAAGTCGGACACAAATGATTGGACACGGTGTCCAACTTATCAAGAGATCCGACTTATCAAAATATGCAATTTTACCAAAAAAAATAAAATAAAATAAAATAAGAAAATCATTGTTTATTATTTATTTATAATAATAATTGAAAAAATAATTTAATAAAACAGATAGAAGATAAAAATCTCTACTCTTTATCTAAATAAATATTCATACTGGTTTGTACTAAAGAATTATTTTGTTTTCTATTAAAATTCCATTTTAAATCTTTTAATCCTGAAACAAATGAACTTTTACTTGTATATCATTATTCTGTTGCAAGTAATTATATAGACTTTGAATGCTTTCCAAAGCGATTTTATTAGGTATTTGTGGGCCAATATCATCATCATCTTCTTCTTCTTCAGGTGCTTCTTGAACTGCTGCAATAATTTCGTCATCATCAAGCATTTCAGTTCCTAAATCAGAACCAATATCAATGTAACTTTTTGCTGTAATAATATTATCATCATTATTAACATTGATTTGATCAATAAGTAATTGCACTTCATCATCTATTTCAGGATCAACTTCCATAGTAATAGGACGGTCAACTTCATTATCAGGTAGAATACCTGTTTTTTCCCAACATCTATAAATCACATCATCTGCTACATTTTCCCACGCTTTTGCACTCCAATCAATTGCATTCAAAATGTTTAAAATTGGAATTTGGATTTCACATTCTTGTGAATTATCAAAAAAAAGTCAATTATGTAAATGTAATAAAAAATAAAAATTCAATTTAAAAAAAATAATTACTTTAAATGATGAATTATGCCTTGATCAATTGGTTGGATATGAGCTGTTGTATTTGGTGGAAGAAAATGTAATTTACTATTGCTTAACACTTCACCTTCTTCCAAATGGTGCGAAGAAACATTATCAACTAATAATAGAATATTTCTATGTTGGCTGCGCATCTGTTGATTAACTTGTTTAATCCATTACTGGAAGATTGAATGTTGCATCCATGATGAATTATTCCAATAGTACCACACTGGAAGTGTTTTCTTATCAATATTACGAATACATTTTGGATTTTTATACTTATGAATAAACACAGCTGACGATTTATGAGAACCAGTTGCATTACATGCAAGCATTATTGTAATTCTATCTTTAGGTTTTTTTGTGCCAGTGATAGGACCACTACTGAGAGTTTTGTTGGGTTCTAACTTCCAATAGAGAGCAGTTTCGTCAGCATTATAAACATCATTCAAGTCATATTCTGCAATTAAAGATTTAATTCAGCTCTAAATTTTGGTAAGTCATCAATTGGTGCACTTGCTGCTTCACCCGCTTTGTAATGTTCTTTTATACTTTTTCTTTTTTTAAAATTAGTAAGCCATCCCTATAAATAGTAAATAAAATGATTAAAATAAAACGAAATTTAATAAATAAAATAATCAAAAAATTGATACTTACTTGTGAGGCTGTAAATCCAATAATTTCGAGTCTTCTAGCATAATCCAGTGCCTTTTGACAAATGATGGAACCAGTTATGGTATAATTGGCTCTATTGGCATTATTAATCCAAATTGCTAATGCTTCTTCCAATTGTGGCCATTCACCTCCACAATCTCTTTTAGTAGCAGCTGAGCTCACAGTAATTGCAAGCCATTTCTCCTCATTGCTAATAATAATGCCTACAGTTGATTTACTAATTCCGAATTTATTACCAATTTCTTCATCTGTTTTGCTTGAATTGGCAATCTTATATTCACATAATTCTTTTTTTTGAATATTAGTAAGTGTAACTAATTTTCTTTCTTTTTTGCTTCCGAATCTACTGGATGTTCCTTCCATAATTATAAATTGGTTTGTTATTAAGAGGAGATGGAAAAAGTTAATAAAATAAAAAGACAGGTAGGTAATAAATGAGTTAGAAAGGATAATTCCGATTATTTAGAAATTCAGAAGGTTGAGAGAAATCTACCCTTTTTATACATATTTTTGAACATAATAAATTGTGAATTATTAATGGGTCCCGCCCGATCGACCAACAGACATTATACCGACAGCCGTTATACCGACTCCGTTATATCGACAGGACGTTTTACCGACAAGATATTATACCGACGGGACGTTATACCGACAAGTCATTATACCGACAAGTCATTTCATGGTGCAATTAATCAATCTAGCCGTCTAATAAATGGCTTAACCACTTAAACAGCCTAGCCGTCTAATAAATGGTTTAACAGACTTGAACAGTTTAGCCGGCTAATAAATGGTTTGACAGATTAGCCGGCTAATCGGCTTAACATCATCAGATATATTAATATATATTATATATGCCGTTTATTAATATTAACGGATAATGATAATGAACTGATATGGTTATGGTAGGAAAAACAAAGAAATACAGTCAACCCCCTCTAAGTGAACCCTCCTTGGGAACATATCATTATTTCTCATGAACGTGCATTTAGAGAGGGTGTGCATTTAGAGGTGAGAATTTATAAGCTCACTATAAGTTTGGGAATGAGACATAGCGTGCATTTAGAGAGGGTTTGCACAGTGAGTGCATTTAGAGAGGTGCACTTAGAGGGGTTGACTGTATTATGCTAAATTGATAGAATATATTAGAAAATGACTTGTCGGTATAATGTCCTGTTGGTATAATGTCCTGTCGGTATAATGTCCTGTCGGTAAAACGTCCTGTCGGTATAACGGAGTCGGTATACGGCTGTTGGTATAATGCCTGTCGGTCGATCGGGGTAAATCCGTTTATATGTAAATTGTAAAATTTCAGAATGATCTTTCCTTGTACTCCTAAAATGCTGATGATCAGCTTAAAATTTTTTCGGAAAACTCTTACCTACCTCGGTTACACGACAAGGTTTTTTTTAAGATAAGATTTCCTTATTTTCTACCAATCATGGGGTTCTGGGTTGGGATTCGTGTAACCGAGGTAGTATTCTTTTTTTCTTGATGCAGAAAATCTTTCCAATAAAAGAAATCTGATTACTTGTATATATATAAAATGGGGGCTGTTCTAGGAAAACACGGGTTAGAACTGATTTTTTTTTTTTGAGATATTTGCAAAAACAATTTTTCA